CCACGCAGGAGCTGAGCTGGAGCTCGGGGCTGGCCTCTGGACACTTCAGGAAGTCCTCCAGTTGTAAGTCTTCTACTCTCTTCTGCTCCCCGCTAGCTAGCACAGCAAGGGAGCCCCTCGTGAAGTGAGGCAGCATGAAAACAGTGCTTAATGTAGGGAACAACATAGACCAGCCTTCTCTCTTGGAGGCAAGTTCACCATGACCCACCACAGTACTTTGGATTTGAGAAATGACTGCAGGGGCAAGGGGCTGTGAATAGACTAGTGCATAAGAAGATGGCATGGAAGACCCCACTAGTGGTGGAGAAAGGTGTATGGGGACTGAGGCAGGAGTTGGAGGGGAGTCATGAAAGCTTGTATCAAATGGTGGCTTCCTGTGACTCTTCCTGGAAGGTAATTCAGAATGGTTAGAGCTACCAGAACCTGGAAGGACTGAGCTGGGGTGGAGATGACTTGTTGCTGCACAGGCAAGCGGGGGTGGCCCATGAACATGTGGGGCTGCGATACTAGCTGACCACAGCATATTATTTTGGTTGGGGATGTGAGTGGTATAGCCAAGCTGTTTTATACCTGCTTGCCAGGAGGGGGCAGCCAGTCCATAGTAAATGCATGCAGGTCCACTGGAGAAGTTTGGAGATGGGGCAGAGCTGGCTACAGGTGGGTGGAAGCTGTGAGGTTCCTTTGTCTTTAGGTTTATAGAGGCTGTGGCTGAACTCTCCATGGAAGCTGTGGCAAGAGGGTCAGAGGGTTGTCTTGGAGGGTCCAGCCATCCCCTAGCGTCCTTCTGGGGACTCTTTTTAAGCCCTTCCATCTGTGTTCCTGTCTGAGGAGGATCTTTGCTAACAGAAGTCAGTGATCCAGCTGAGCCACTTGCAAGATGTGGGGCTTGGAGATGTAAGGGGCAGGACTGTGTACGTGTGAAATGGTAAAACCAAGAGGCTTTCTTCATGTCTTTACCACTCCAGAGAGGGGCCAAGTTGCAGAATTTTCCTAGGTGGGGGAGCCTGAAGTTGATCACAGGGGGAGCCATGGGTCCTGGAGGTGAGGACCACAGGCAGCACCGCTCTGCACTATGCGAAACACTTGGGGTTGAGTTTAGGCTGTTTGTATCCCCTGCATCTGGATGGTTCCTATAGATATGAGCAGACCCAGCTAGTTGCAACCCTGAAGGGTGGGGGCAATTTATTCTCTCACATGGGACCAAGCCAGGAAGTTGTTTATGCAGCTGGGGATGGAGACATGAACTTTTAGTTCCCTTTTCCATGCACCTGAGTGATCTGGCAATCTCCAGGTACTCATTGGGTGGACAGGGCTGGAAGAAAGCACCAATTCTGGCTTCTGTGGAGGTGGGTGAGGCAGATCGTTCACCTTTGTCTGGCTCAGGGAAAGCCTTTCCCTCCATAATCTCACGTTTCTTTGGTGGCAGGCTGAGCTGGCTGTGCGGGAGCCATTCTGTCCGTGTTCTGCTCCTGTTCCCTGAGCAGCTGGAAGCTGCAGACAACTCATGTTCCTGAAGCATCTTGTGTAGGTACAAAAAAGGTTTCACCCCTCCAGCTCTGAAAGCAAGAGCAGCTAGAGCAGGGCTGAGCACAGGATTGCATATGCAAAGAAACAGAACAGTTTCATGATGCGGATGTGATATGTGACCACAATCACACATTGCTCCTGCAGCACTGCTGCTCTTGACATCTATGCTGGAGTAGCTAAGCACCTCACAAGAGGTATGAACTTCTACTCACAGCATTTCTATGAGACAAGGGCACACCACCCCCATTTCAGATGCAAAACTGAGGCACAGACAAATAACATGTGGTGCCCAAGGTGACACAGGAGGTCCAGTCAGAAGGAGACCGCTATTTCCCCTCTGTTGGATTAACCCATGTTTGCTAGGCACTCTGTTTTAAATAACAGAATTTGTGGGAATGCAGTCAAAATCCCCAACCCCTCTCCCCTCATACCTTCTGTCAATGTTTTCAAGAGTTCACAGAGATCTGTCTCTCTGAAATGCAGCCAAAGGCTTCCTTCAGACATATTAAAACCATCAGATACTCATTCCCCAGCTGAGACTCATCTGTAACACTGACAGCCCTGTCCGAATGACCATGCCTGGCTGCATAAGTGACTGGTGCCTCCTGAATCTGGGGGGACACCTGCAGCAGCCGCTGACTGTGGCAGCCCTGTCAGGGGGGGCACCAGCCCTACCGACAGCATCAGTGTTGGCCATCAGTGGGGGCACCAGCCCCGTTGGGGGGGGCACATGCACCCCTGTGCACCCCTACCAGTTGCCTATGCCTGGTTGCCAAGAGGAAACATCATCCTGCACAAGATCATGGATGAAATGGATGCCCAGATCCCCTCATCTTCTTCCTTTCACCCTGAACAAAACCCATTATCATGAACAAAGGCTCTGAGGTAGGCTTAGGCTCAGGGTGGGACCTCTGCTGTGCTCTACTGGTTCTGGGATCCCCTCTGGGGTGTGAAGCCCTTCCCAGGGAGAGGTCTGTCCAACAGGGCACTTACAGGGGGAATGCAACTCCCTTTCATCTGGTCAGAACTCATCAGCTGAACCAAATTAGTCCTCAGATCAGAGCAGAAACCCCAGACAGCTAAGATCAGTGCCCAAGGAGGCAGTGCAGCCACTGCAGGAGCTATCTCCAAGCCTGGCTTTTCTCCTCCCTGGTGTCTGCTGCCCTTAAACCTCATCCCCAGAGCTTTCTCCTCTAAATCTTATCTTAAAAATTTCCCCTGAACATCCAGTGTACCCCTCTGCCCTACTGGGCTTCCCTGGGCTTGGCTCCTGAATTATGTTACCCATCCCTGAGGACATCTGCTCTGCCCTAAGAGAACAGAGGACTCTGAGTCCTGTAGAGGTAGACATGTTCCCCGCAGGTCTCACTGCTAGCCCTGGCCTCCCTCCCACCTACTGTCCCTGAGATTCCTCAGGCCCCTCTCAGAAATGGTGGTGCACTTTTTCTGCTGCCCGGGGCAGGCAGTGGGCAAGCAAGCACCTTACCTGTGTTGTGGATCTCCAGCTGGGAAGGACCTGTAACAGGCTTGGCAGTTAGGAGCTTGCCCTGTCTGTCTGTGTCAAAGGCACTGAAGCACTGATGAATAAGGTCACCCAGCTGCTCTGTGTGGGAGGCTTCCTCACATATACACATACTGCCTCCAGTGTCAGCCCAGGGACTTATTTTGAAGCAGCCAAACTAAGGGATTTGGGACCCCTTCTAAATACATGCTGGAGAGCTCTGCCACTAGGAAACATGAGCCCTTTCTCTGCGGGAGGGAGAGAGCGCAAGTGATGGCATTGGGGTGGGGGTGGCTCAGGAAGCAGCCTATAGCACGCAGGGTTTTCTGTGCCTTCTACAGAGCTTTACAAGGTGACCCCAGCTGCAGCCTTGGTAATGAGGGGAGAGGGGAGAGCTGGCTTAGGGCCACCACAGATCCCAGCAGCACCTGCAAACAGCTCCATTTGAGCAAGGCAGGTGAAAACCTTGGCTCCTGCACATTGCTTTTGGGCAAAGTTTGGGTGCCCTTGCCTTGGGCCATGTTCACTGTTGGTGTAACCCTAGTGAAATCCGGGGGTGGGGAAGCTTCCTGCATCTGTCTCTGCTCTCCCAGCACAGAGGTAGGTGGAGAAGCAGAGCTGAAACGGCCTCCATCAGCATCTGACATTTCACATAATGCTCTTTGTCTCCTGTGATGTGGCTAAGACTGACCAAGCACTAGCACATTCTCCAGCTCAGTGTGGCGCAGGTCTCAGTCATCTCAGAACTGAGCGCTGGGAACGGGGTGGGGAACCCCACTGAGTCGGAGTGGCAAGATGGTTGTTCAGGCTTGGTGACAGACCACGCTGTGTGGAAAATGTGGATGATTGTGACCAAGTCTGTGGCTTGACCAGGTTAATAGGTGTCTCTAGATCAATTAGACCAAGGCCTTATCAGGTCATCTCCTGCCTCTGCACATGGGACCAGCTGTGCAGTGTGGTGCCTCAGGGCTGGGATGGGGATTTCCAGTCAGTTGTGTGTGAAGCAGGTGGGTTGATTGTGGCTGTGCCTTAGTTCCTATCTGCTTTTCAATGCTCTCCTCATGCTGCTGTCAAGAACAGTAGATGGCTAGAAGTGGGTCCCTTGATGTTGGGCTAATCACTAAGGAAAGGATGCTCACAGATGCTTTCTCACATGGTACAGGTGGAAAGGCACCCCTGGATTCTTTAAGAACTCTCCTTGTCACTGTGCCCCTCTATCTTTCAGTACCTGTGCTAGGAACAGCTTGCTCTTCCTTCCCCCAGCTACTGTTGAGAGCAGCAGAAAAATGCCCCCATAAGAGCCCGAGTGGCTTTGTGTAAGACCTTGGAGGGTTCCCTGAGGAGCTGGAGCCTGTGGGCTGCCATGCAGAGATCCACTGCTGGCAACTATGAGCTTTGTGCTTCATTTTAACGAGGCAGATTTCACAAATATACAAAGCAGCAGCTCTGCTCTGATGTCAAGAGGCTGTCTCCCCTTCCACCCCCAAGCCTGAAACTAGGCTGCTGTACAAGTCTTTGTGTGTCTCTGTGATGAGTCAAGCGCTAGTAACATCAAAGGGAGGAGGTAGGGAAAGTCAGAAAAAAGCAAGAGATTCAGACAAGGAGGTGACAGTAGGAGCTGCAAATAACACACGTGCTGAGTGCGCACACACACATTCTGGTGTATACACATGCATGCACATGCACACAATGCTTCCAATCCAGCAGTATTACACACATGCTTGCAGTACTAGGCTACCCATGTGCAGGTGCCTTAAAACCCAGCTGCACACCCTGTGTCTTAAAACCCTAGAGACACACACACCTGTATTAAATACATGCAACAGACCAGATCACACTGGCACCTCCAACACATCCTGGGGTGCCATAGGATTTTTTTCAACGGCACCATGGGGTGCCAGAGGTATGCCAACACCAACATGTAATTTCCAAGATAAACCTGAAGGTTTCAAATAGGAAACCATACTGTCAAAAATATTCTGACCTGCTGTGGTTTTGCTGAGTTCTTTGCAAGAAAAAAATTGTGTTGTTATTTTTCTATAGTCCAAAAACAAGGGAAAGCTAAGAGTTAGCATTTTTCCAGGGGTGCCTTGAGTCTAAAAGGTTTAGAACCACCATCCTAGATAAACTGTCCAGAATGTTATACCAGGATAGGCTGGGGAAGTATCAGTCTTACCAGTGTTTATTCCCCATGTCATCCAAAGATTAAGGGATAAATTAAGTCTTACTTTGACCTGTCTTTCTGAGCAAAAACCCAATTCTCCCCTCTGTGTCAGACCTTACCATAATGCCTGTAGGTACTTCAGTCCCCATCCAGAACTGCAGAAGGAATTCAGAGACATTCTTCTGTCAAACCTTGTGTACTCCAGTTCTGTGACCACCACCTGACCAGGATTCTTCATTGCAATCTTTGGAGCCATGTCTCAAGAGCAGGCATGGATCCCTGTCTCCAAGGCATTCTCCAGAGCTCAGCATTTGCCCCTTCATAGTCTCTTTACATGAGGAGTCATGAGAATCATGGAGCTGCTAGGAGCTCTGCTTGTTTATGCTCATTATTCATTATTTGTATAGACTTTTCACTCCTATTGTTTGTTTCATTGTGGATTACATGGACAGAGCTATTTTCATTTTGTGAATGTGGAACCTGAAGCATGAAGAGATGCATTGACTATTCCTAAGGTCCCACAGTGAGGTGGTTTCAACCTTGGAGTGGGACATTCAAGGCTCTGAGTCCTGGCCATGCTGATTTGCTCTCTCCAATTGTGATCTGTCCCATCTGAAGGAAGGAGAAGCCCTCACTCCTGACACAACAGCCTCCACTTTTCTCTTCACTCTGGGTGCACTGCCCCCAATTTGTAAGCCCCACCTTGCACCTCTCATTACTGACACCTGGTTTCTTGTGTCACAGACAAATGAGGTCACAGCCTCTGTCTGGATTGATATTATCCCAATGACCCCCAGCCCTGGGAGGACCAGTGGCATCTCAGACCCCAGGGGAGGAGCAGCTAGTTTTTGGACTGCTTGTCTGTCACAGAAGCTATCATTTAAAGTTCTACGGTACCTTCTTGGAGTGATAATGAAGGCCCCTGGGAAAGGGAACGCCCCTATGCAGCAGGTACAAATCCTTTAGAGACTGTAGAGATCCTCCTTCTCTGAGCATCCCTGGGACTGGGGTGGAGGATGAAACTTGAACATTTACCCTTGGACCGAAATGATAAGGCCTTTTGGGTAAGGAACTAATTTCCTGGGTGCTGTATAATCCTGATCTCCACTAAGGGACTAAACCACTATGATAATGAAGAACTCATGGAGTGAGACAGTCCCTAGCTGCAGGGTTGGAGATATCTCAGGTGATGCTGCGTGCGCACCAGGCCTGGCCATCATAGCTTGTTCAATGTGGCAATACCTTGTAGATCCCAAGTAGTTGGAGGAAAATGATCTATTAGGTCCATGTAGTTTAAGATTCTGCTTCCTCATGGGAGGATGCAGAATTGAACCCTGCCATGTATTCACCAGTGCTTTGTTCCTTTTGGTGTTAAATCATAGATTCAGGGAGTCAGAAGGGACCTCCAGGACCATCTAGTCCAGTTGTTTTCAACCTTTTTACATTTGCGGACCCCTAAAAAATTTTGAGTGGAGGTGCGGACCCATTTGGAAATTTTGAATGTAGGTGTGGACCCCTTTGAATTGAAAGTGTCGGTATTCACATACTTTTGATTTATCCTGGTCACCTTTCACAGACCCCTTAGACATAGTCTGTGGACCCCCAGGGGTCTGTGGAGCACAAGTTGAAAACCATTGGTTTAGTTTAATGCCCTGCCCAGATGCAGGATTCTCTATTCCTAAACTATCCCAGACACCTACCTCTCCAGCATCTTCTGGAAAACCGCCAGTGAAAGAGATTCTTCAGCTTCCCTAGGTAGCTTGCTTTGTTGTTCTTACCATTAGGAAGTTTTCCCTGAGACTGAATCTAACCTATTACCTCAGCTCTGTTCCATCATTTCCTTTTGCAGATTGATGATGCTGAGGCAGGATCTTCCAAATTATGGCTACCTCATTCCAGTACCACCAAGACTGGAGCAAGTCAGTTGAGCAACAAGGTGCAAAAGAAGAACCGTCTAAAGAAAGTAAGCAGCCTTGCATGGGCCAGCCCCTCTGTTACCTCCCAATGAGGCAGCAGAAAGGATGGCTTTGTGGGGTGTGTGCATGACAAACTCCTTGTTCCTAGCCTCTAGCAAGCTGAGCTGTAGTGAATGGACGCCAACCAGTTGTGGGGAGCTGATTATCTCGAATTCCTCCTGGTTACTTGCTGGAGTTGAGAGGGTGGGTAAATGTTTGTATGTGTGTATCCCAGTGTTCCTTCTCTCATGAGTCAGAGGGTTGCTGAGCCAGAAAGGCTGAATGAATGGATGTCTCTAGCCTGCGCCTTGTGCTTCCTCCTCAGTCAGGGATAGCCTCATTGGGTCAATATGTGCCATCACCCTCATCATATAATTCAGCCTTCCATTCCAATGGTCTCTGTCCTGACAGATACTCAAGAAGCTGTCGCTGCTCAAGCTGATAAAGCAGGCTGATCGCAGGATCCTCCGGCTACGCGTATTGGCCAGTAGGTGCTGGAAGTTACTGACATTCAAGAAACCTGCCAGTCTTGCTCCTGGCCCTGCTGGGTGAGTCACTTGCCTACAGAATCCCAGACATTGTCCAACCTTTGAAGGCAAAGAGGGGTGTCTATGAGCACGTGTCTGACTGTGAGGGTGCACGAACCTGGATGAGGCTGTAGGGTGTGAGGCCTGAGTGGGATTGTGTGTCTCTGTTGGCTGGGTCAGGGAGTGTCCTCAGGTGCAGGAGAAAAGTGGGGTAAATGAAAGGTAGGGTAGGAGAGGAGAGGAGAGAAGTGGGGTAGTTAGCCAGTGAATGAACTCACTAAGAATGTCCTGTGCCACCTGCCAGATACGATGCCTCAGGGTTGCCCAGTCTGTCTCATGCTTCCAAACACCTATGAAAAAAAAAAGAGTTAAAAATAATGTCATACCCAGATTTCTCAGCAGAAAAGTTCATGCCAAAGGGGTGAAGGGAGGAACTAGTGGAGTCACAGCCTGGTGGACTATATAGCAAGTAAGGTTGTTTGGGATAGTGTTGTGTCATGTTGTGAAGCAGGAGCCTGCTGAGCTGTTTGGAGACGTTAGTGCGACACACACTTTGCACGTGTAGAGTCCGAAGAGACAAGATGTGGGGAAGCTGTGGAGACAGGAGACTTCAGTTGTGCACACGGCAGGTGGCCGGGAGGCAGGCTGGCCTGAGCCCTGCTCTTGGCTCTGCTACTGACTCATTGTGTGTGGCCATGGGCAAATCACTTCTCCCCTCTTCCTCAGCATCATTGTCTGTAAAACCAGGATAGCACTTGCTTGTTTTCAGAGCTGTTTGAGGGTGATGAAGTAATGTGTGTGTGGTGTTCTGGAGACAAAACAGGGTGAAAATGTCATGTATTAGCAGCAATAGCAATTTGTGGGCTTAGATCCAGCCTGTATTAGAGGAGAAGGAACCAGACCATTGACTTCCTTGTTCCCCCAGGGACAGTTATTACTAGGAATTCCTACCACCCCAATTCTATATGGGCTCTCAGCACCTATGAGGCAACATCCCAGGCTGGCCAGGCCTCTTCCTAGCCACCCAGCAGGACCAGCTCTTCCTCTTTTTGTGGAGGCTTCATTGCAGCCCTTGGGGCACTTCTTCCCTTAGCCCTTCCATGTTTCCTTGTGGCATCTCTGCCTCCTGTGCACGGGGGCTGGGTTCCTTCCTGCCATTCCAGGGAGCTGCGGTCCTAGTCATGTGCCTCTAGGAAGCTCCAGGGGTTAGAAGGGCCACGTGCTACCGGCTCTTCTGGATTCTGTTTGTGCTCAGGGCATGCTGGGGAGAAAAATAATGACTTTTTGACTTTGGCTTAGGACAAGAGCATCCTCTATGGAGCCAAAGAAGCCTGGAGTGGACGCGGATACTAGTCCTGTTGTCAACACCACCACAGAGACTGATCCTGACATTACGGATGTGAGACCTACCACTCACCCCGATGTGGAGACTGCTCCTATCATTGAGGATGCTGACCCTGTTACCACTGCTGGGGATGACATGGAGATAGATGCTGATATTCTGGATGCTAGACCTGCCTCTGAGGATGATATGATGACTGATGCTAACTTGGTGCTGTGTAACCCAGAGGCGCCCCTGGAGGTCCAGCCTGAGATTCAGGAGTGGAGGGCCTGTTTTGAAGGCCTGCCCCAGCGGCTCCACGTCCCTGCTCCTAAGGTGCTCTGCAGACCAGCTGTCCAGCGATGGATCAAACCATGCTGTACTCGGTCCTGTGGCCAGACACTGGAGCACCCACCAACTGTCTGGTACCGGGAGTGACAAAATCTATTTCTGTAAGCAGTTAGTTCCACTCCCTCTGGGGCTGCCTAACTGGGATCCCTCCTGAACATGAAGCTTCAGCAGCTTCCTGTCCTTGGGTGAAGCAGGATTCCTCCAGATCCTGTCAGTGGCCAGAGGGAGTCACTGCTGAGGCCTTTGAGGTGCTTCCCATCCACTACTGTGCCCGACTGTGTCACTAGTAGATCCTGTTCTTAATGGGGACTGTAGTAATTACTGAGGACCGTAATCACAAAACAGACTTTTAGTGTGGAGAATCCAGCTCGCTGCACTTGTTTCAAGAGTACATTTGTTTTTCCTTCCAGGTCCTTCCAAACTGGGTGGAAACTGAGTTGAGCAATTGAAGGAGAGAGCTGCTGAGTGATGCACTGAGCCATAATTCTATAAATAAAGGAAATAACCTGCATCCTTCAGACACAAAATTTGTCTCTGGTCTGAAGTCTGAGCACAGGCAGGTGTGCAGGGATACTTGGCATAGTGAGAAGGAATTGGACTGTGCCTCTTCTCTAGTCACTTACAATTCTACCCACTAGACAGGCCCAGTTCTTCCCTGCTGTGTCTCTGCTAGAGACACTGGCAGTATCCAAGGGAGATTTATAAGTTCATTATGCCAAATTTATATTATATCAAATGGGAATCAGAAAGTTTTCTTGACAGTAAATTGTCAACGGATCCTTTTAAATCTGGCAGCCTGAGCTGAAGTTGTTTTTAGGATCTCCATACCTGCGGTGAGGAGTTTATTCTTGGGACAGTTCTCCATGTGAAAGATCTTGTTATCTCAAGCCTGTGACTCCTCTATGTGTTCCTGTATCCTTTCCCCATTTCCTGGGGCCCTTGATACCAGTCAGAGGCACTGTTAATGTGTGACAGGTGTAATATGATGTCACTAGGCTGAACTGTGACACCCCCAGGCCCATGAACTGATGTAATTGGTTAGAAGGAGCCCATCTGGGCAAAGGTTGGGTTCTGCTCCCACCCCCACCAATGTAAATGAGAAGTGTCCTTCAGCACCAGTGGAATAGCCCCCACAGCAGTTGAATCTCTCTTCTGTGAGTGGTCCCATTGCCTGCAGGGAAGTCGCTGGAATGACTCGCTATATGTATAAAGTTAAACTCTTGCATAACACTTTCCAAGACTGAACCCCAGTGCTGCAAACCTGTAGACAAAACAGTCTCACAGGCCTTGGGAGATCTCAGGGAGGAAATAAATGACTGAATTATGGAATTTTTAAGCATTGTTTCCATTGACTTAAGGCAACCTCCAATTGCTCTAAGAAACATGGGATACTGCGTAGCCATTTCTAACAAACCCTTTGTTATTATAGGGTCGCTCATGAACTTTTAGTGTATGCAGATCTATTAGGGTTTTCTTTATAATTTTATGTGTGCTGTGGTTGTGGCTGGGGATCGTGATTGTGGATCCAGGCTCTGTTGGGCTTCGCTTTGTAGAAACACAGAACAGAGGGCTGCCCCAGAGAGCTTGCAATCAAGTTTGAAACAGGAGACAATGGGTAGATGCAGTGAATAGACCTGCTGCCTCCTCAGTGGTGGAGACACTGTGACAGCGGTGTCTTACTCTAGACTGCTTATGACTGTTCTTGTGTTGCACAACTAAAACAAGCAAACTAACAGAAGCTTGTAAAGCAGTGATTATACCTGAAATCTGCACCAGAAAGGAGGCTTGTGAGCTGAAAGGGCTAATCTCTTTCCCCATTAAGGATATGGGAAAGGCCAGTAGGTGGCACTCCAGAGTTACGGTATCACTCCGTTCTGTGGAAAGACTTGGCCACTGGCCGGTGTTCCAGCCACAAGGGAAAAGGCCAGCTCCTGATCACCCTGCCGGTGCCACTGACATGCTGGGATCAACCACTGTGTTTGGTCCCTGCCATTCATTTGTCCTTCTGGACCTAGCGGACAGCTGCCAGCCCACCTGGTTTTCCTGTTAGGTTCCTAACTTGCCTCTCCTGAGGACTTGCTGGAAAGCCCATTTCTGTAGAACACCCCCCAGCTGAGCTCAGTCTAGATCTGGGGTGCTCAACTCAGGGCTGCAGGCTAGATCTGGCTCCCAGCACTGTGTCATCTGGCCTGCCAGGCTTCCCCCAGGTCTAAAAATGTGGTGGCAGGGGAGCCAGTGGCACTATTCCTCTTCTGCTGAATTTCCAAACCTCTGCGGAGCCCCCTGGGCTGGATAGTGTGGCCCTGCACACTAGATTGGGTGCATGGGGCAGGGCCCAATCCTGCTATGCAAGGCTGGGAGGTGGTGGTGTGGGGCCCTGGGGCCCAACCCTGGGGTACAGGGCCTGATGATAGTATGTGGGGGAGGCATGAGGCCAAATGCTAGCATACAATGGTATTGTGGGGCCTCAAGGACTTGATACCAGCACAAGGGCCCAGGTGGGAGTAGCAGGGAGCCAGGGAGTACCTGGGACCCAGCCAAAGCCTCGTGGGGCCCAGCCAAAGCCTCGCAGGGCCCAAACTACTCATCTGGCCCCCAAGGCTAAAAGCCTGAGCACCACTAAACTAGAGAGCTCAAATGTGGGTTACCCATTCCCAGGCCCTTGGGGTTGTGTGAAGCTGCTTGTTACTTGAAAGTGTCTGGCCACCCCTCTACACGAATAAGTCCTAGTTGATGGGATATCTGCAAACGAGTCACTTCCATGATGGCTTCAGTCACTTGTGCTGTGCAGTTAATTGTTTGATCTCCTGAGTCACGTGATGTGCCTGCCGTCTGAGGAGTTGAATGTAATTTTTATATACAGGCAGTGAGTTTAAAGATGGAGAAACAAGCAAGTCACCTTCCCACATCCCATGAACCCTCTGGCCAAACCTTCCTCTCTTGGGAATCTATATGCTTTGGGCTCTATATGCTACCCATGGCGTTTCCAACACCCCACTTAATACCCTTGCCTGGGACCTTTATATGGTAGTGATCTGCTGTGGCTGAGATGTCAACTACATGGCCTTTAGTATTGATCTACATTGCAGTGATGCCTGGGAGCCCCAGTTTTAGAGCAGGACCCTGCCGCACTAGGTGCTACACAAACACAGACCTTGCCTGGAAGAGCTGACATCCTAAGAGGCAAGGGATGGATCCAGCCAGACCGAAGGGTGAGCACAAAGAAACAATGGGACGCTGGAGGTACGTGGAGTCTGTGCCCACCTGGCCAACTGTCCTCGTTGTCTTTGTAGCAAAGATAAGTTTTCTGGAGTGATGTGAAGGGGGTTTGTGAGTGTTTACAGGAAGCTTCTCAGGACCATAGGAAAACTGGGCTGGAAGAGACTTCACAAGGTCATACATATAGTCCAAGTCCCTGCTCAAGGCAAGAGCACCCCTAACCAACTCATCCCAGCCAAAAGCCTGCCCAGCCTACTCTTGAAAACTTCCAGGAATGGTGATTTCCTGACATCTGGAGGCAGCCTGCTCCAACTTCCCTGCAGTCAGGCCTTCTGGATCATGGGCATGGGCTGTAGAGGAAGAAGGCTCAGGCTCCCCGGACAGGCCACGGGGGACCAGCAGCTGAGTCTGGGGACAACAGAAGAGGAAGCGGATAGGAGTGGGGTCACAGGTTACTAACGGGTGCGCTCAGTGGGTCGGACTTCCTCCCAGCCGGCCACAGCTAGAGCTACGAGCCCCCTGGACGAGGGGCTGCACTAAGGGGCGTCTGCAACCGCTCGGGACAAATAAACACAAAACGGGGACCGGAGCGAAGGGCAAAGGTTTCAGACGAGTGCAGTTTGATACCTTTGGCCCTCCAACCCGCGTGGAGCAGGGACAGGAAAATGGCCCCATAGTCCCCTGGCCGGGGCCGCGGACGGGCTAGAGCAGAGGTGCGGGGATGCCCGCGCCGCGGCTCCTGTCGTCCCGCGGGGCGGGGCGGGGCGGGGCGGGGAGG